TGAAATTAGGGCTTGTCACATGACACTTCAGCATTGTACCAATGAGCTCTTATGTGCTTTTTGTGTGGGAATAGGATTGAACACAGGCATTAGCATATGACAGGCAAGTGTCCTGCTACTGTGACATAAACCAACCAGTTGAGTGCCAGAGATTATCCAAAAGGCCTGGTAATATTACAGATCCCTGATGTTGAAACATATACCCCTGACTTATGTATATATGTATGTATGAATCTATTTTTGTTTATTTATTTATTTTTATTTTTTAGTGGTGGAGATTGAACCCAGGAGCTGGCACTTGTGAGGTAGGAGCTTTACTCTTAAATATGTGGTATTTTTATTTTTTAAAAAATTAAGTTTTTAATTGTGAGAATATTGTACAGAGGAGGGGTTGCAGTTACATGTGCAAGGTAATGAGTATCTTTCTTATCAAGCATTGTTGTCTCCTTTGTTTTTCTACTACCATCCCTTCCCTCCCACCTCCACAACTATACTTGTAAATAAAAGCCATCACCTCCCATTGTCACAATGGTGTGGATGGAAAATAGGGACTCATAGCCAGGTGCTGATGGCTCACACTTGTAATCCGAAGTGAGGAGTGAGATCTGAGGATCCCATTTCGAAGCCAGCCCAGGCAGGAAAGTCTATGAGACTCTTTATCTCCTATTAACTACCAAAAATTTGGAAGTGGAGCTATGCCTCACTCAAGTAGTAGAGTACTTGAGCAAAAAAGCTCAGAGACAGTGCTTACGCTCTGAGTTAAAGTCCCAAGACACACACACCCTCTCTCTCTCCCTCCCATCTCTTTCCCTCTCTCTCCTTTTTCTCCCTCTTCCTCCTTCCCCTCCCTCCCTCCCTCCTTCCCTCCCTCTCTCCCTCCCCTCCTCTCACACACACACACATACAAGAAAATACCCACATCTGTAACACTTTTATGTGATTGAAGGATACTGTGATAGAAATATGTTTCTTCTGTTGATTCTCATTCCCAGAAACCTTCTTGTTTCTCTGAAGATCCTGGATTTGATCCAGGGCCTTAGTATTCTGGGCAAGTATCTTATCACTAAGCAACATTCATAGCATTGTTTTTATGTGTGTATTTTGTGTGTGTGTGTGTGTGTGTGTGTGTGTGCGTGCCTGTGGTGCTAGGGATTAAACGTAAACCTGGCACATGCTAGACCAGGGCTCTACCATTTAACCAGTGCCTTTTGTAGTGCTTAATATACCAGTGAACAGAATTCTGGTTCATTTTGTTGAGGAAGGAGATACTGTGGGTAAGTCTCAGTGATTGAGTACATGCCAGCATCTACAAGCCCTGTTTCAATATTCATCACTGGAAAAAGAAAAACAACCTGGGAGTGTGTTAGCCTTGCCTACCAAGCCCTAGGGCATAGATCTAGTTTCAAGCATCTCACAGCCCAATAGACAAGGCATGGATGTAAATTACTAGTATGCTTGCTAGGTTGTAGGTTCAATCTCTAGCACCTAAAGGAAAAGTGTGGGCTGTGGATTTAACTCAAGGTTAAGTGCTGGTCTAGCATGCACTGGATGCAAGGTCCAATCATAACCACTACATAAAGGCTGGGAATGTGGTTCAGTTGTAGAGGTTTGCCTAACATGTGCCATGACTTGTTTTGTTTCCTTAACATCTAAGAAAAGGGAGGAGGGAATTTAACTCAGTGTTTGCTTTACGTGTACCAGGTCTCCATCACAGCAATACACCAACAGTACCACACTAATAATAATGATGTCTTTGGGCATGGTTCACACTCTAGTATCTCCCCACCCAAAAAAACAAAGGTTGGGAGTATTGCCCAATAGTACAGCTCCTACTTTTAGTATGTTCCATGCTCTGGGTTCAATCCCCACCACTGCAAAATTAAAAAGTACTGGGAATATGGCTCAGTTGTTGTGGTCTTATCTAGTTTGCTAGCCTTGGATCCAATCTCTAGCATCCATCTCACACGTAAAGTGCTACATATGCTGCTCAGTGGTAGAACACTTGCCTAGCATATGCTATGATTATTTCTGCTTTCTTTTTGTCAGTCATGGGGCTTGAACTCATGGCTGAGCACTGTTCCTGAGCTCTTTTTGCTCAAGGCTAGTACTTTACCACTTTGAACCACAGCTTCACTACCGGTTTTCCGGTGGTTAATTGGAGATAAAGGTCTCACAGCCTTTCTTGCCTGGGTTGGCTTTAAACTGTTATCCTTAGCCTCTTGAGTAGCTACGATTACAAGTGTGAACCACCAGCTCCTGACTTCAATTCTTGAGTACATTCTTCAGTATACTTGCCACCAAAAATCGTTTGGGGAACAGCTCAGTAATAGAGTGCTTGCATAGCTTAAACCAGGCCCTACATTTATTCTCCAGCACCTTCTACTTCCAGTCCCTCAGGAAAGAACCAGGAGTGTAGCCCCATCATAGCGCACTTACCCAGGATGTGCCAAGCCCTTGGTTCAAGCTTCACCACTTCATAAAAAGGTCTGGGGTAAGGCTAAAAGAGCAGAGCCTTTGTCCACTATCTGCCAGGTTTCAGTTTAATCTCCATCTCGACAAATAAAAGATTCTGGGAATGTCCCTCATTGGTGTAGAGTGCTTACAAGCATGTACCAGGCCCTAGGTCCAATCCCCAGTACCACAAATGAAAAGGGGCCAAAGATATGGCTCAGTGGTAAGACACTTGCCTGTCTCATAACAGGTCCCAGGCTCTACTCTCAGCTACAAACAAACAAACATAACTTGGAGGTGCTAGACATGTGGTTTAGTGTTTGAATCTTTCCTAGCACATACCAGGTCATGTTTTCAATACTCAGTCCAGCAAAACTAGCAATCTTTTGGAGCCTTTGGATCTGGAGCTCATGCCTACCATACCCAAGGCCCTAGTACAAACTACAGAATCTCCCCCCACCCAACAAAGAAAGGCAACTGATATGGTTCAGACTTTTCTAACATATGCTCCATCCTCATACAGCAAATTAAATTGATTGATTGAAATATAAGGCTAAGGATTCATCTTCATGGCAGTAGTAGAGGTCTGGTCTAGCATGAATGTGCCCTTGGATTTTTTTTAACAATTGGAAAAAATGTATTGTGGATATGGTTTAGTGGTAGAGTGCTTTCCTAGCATACCTCCACATAAAAGGAGTCTAGATATGTGTGGTGGAATGCTAGCCAACATGGAGGAGGCCCTGGTTCAATCACCATACACCACACACACCAAAGGCTGGGCATGTGGCTCAATGACAAGCCAAGCCCTGGGTTAGATCTCCAGTACTTAAATAAAAAGAGTATGTTAAGGATGTGACTCAGTGATAGAAAGTTTGCCTAGAAAGCACAGGCCTGTCATTCATTCATTCCTAGTACTATGAAGAGGGGACAGGAGGGAAGGAGAGGGGAGGGGATGGGACTTGACTTAACCTCCAGGGTCTAAAGACATTAAACCTTGTATCGGAGGTACACATCTGCTGTTAGCATTAGGAAACTCATGACAGAGGTGACAAGCTGGGATGGACTCTCATTTCCTTAGCAGGTTGTCTCAGAAGGGAAAGGCTTGGCCTATTAAAATTTGCCCAGTTAAACAAAAGGATCTGGTTCCTAAGAGATGTCAACTATGTGACGCTGAGGGATGATGAGGGGACCCGTTCAAGAATAAAGGAACCACTTAGCTCCCCACTCCCACTGTGATATTTGGACATGATTGATTACCAGTCACTGTTTCCAGGCATTTTGAGCCCCAAAAAGCTTAAGAAAGGACTGTCAATTTGAATATCTCCCTTACCTCTTTTTTTTGTTACAGCATTTTAAAATTTTTCTTTTGTTTTCTTTAAAAAAATTTTTATTGTAAAGGTACTGTAAGAGGGGTTCCAGTTATATGAGTAAGGTAATGAGTACATTTCCTATGAAGCATTGTTACCCCCTCCTTTGTTTTTCCCCCACCATCCCTTCCCTCCACATTTCTCCAATTCCTCCTTCCCCCCCCCCGAAGTTATAAAGTTCATTTTCAAGATAATATCTTGTGCATCTCATTGTTACAATCCTTACCCCCTTTTTAATTTAAATTTTATTGTAAAGGTTATGTACAAAGGGGTTACAGTTACATAAGTCAGATAATGAGTACATTTCTTTTTGAACAGTGTTACTCCTTCCCTCATTTTCTCCCACTTTACCTCTCCCCCACCCCGTGCTGTAAAGTTCATTTCCAAAATAGTGTCTAGTGAGTATCCCTGTTGCTTGGTTCACCCTTTGTCCTACCATTTCTGTGATTCTCCTTCCCTTCCCCAAATCATCTAAACTTGTATACAAGACAAAGGGTACAGAAATAAAAACAGTGACAATAGGGAATAAACCAAAGGGGAAAAAAAGAAAGAATAAAGACCTTTATTTTAGCCCTAAGGGAAAAAGCCTTATTTTGAAAATATAGCAACAGTGAGTCAAAGGGGTGGTGCTAAACCTGACATGAAGCCAATATAAGGTGCTGAAGAAGGCCTAAAGATCTTCAGTGAGCCCAAGACAGAAAGGACTTAATGTCCACTGAATTCTAAACACTGTCTGCCCCCTGCTGGGAAGTGGCTTGAAGCTCCCAGAAGTTTTCCTTCTCATGAGTGACAGAAAGCCTTAAGCTGTCAATTGAGAATAGCTCAGGTGAAGCTACCAGTTGATAAGGTAATCCAGAGAACTAACAAGGTCTCAGTGTGACAGGGGCCTCAGTGCCTGCTGTGGCCTTAGTAATTCAAGGTAAGGTCAAAATGGCTTCATAGTTTCTCGGGGGAGGGGGGGTCTTAGGAGACAGGCTGACCAAGCGAATAGAAGCCCCATGGATTCTAGATAGAGCATTGCTTTCATGCAGACCTGCATGGAGGATTGGGGGAAGAGTTCATTAAGGCCAAGAGGTCTCTCCTTACTGTAGGTCCTCATAGATTCTCAGTTTGCCTTTGCAGCTATCCCAGGCAACTTCCTTGCTACTCACACTTTTTTTTCTGGCCCTGACCACAGCCATCATGCCCCGGGGACAGAAGAGTAAACTCCGTTCTCGTGAGAAACGGCGCCAAACCCGAGATGGGCCTCCTCAGAATCTTGAAGATGCTCAGGCTACTACAGCAAAGGAAGAAGTGGCCACCTCTTGCTCTGATGATGCTGCTTCAGGCACCTCAGCCACTGGCTTTTCCCAAAAGTATCAGCAAGCTCCACCTAATGCTGTGGCTGCTGTAGGCATTTTACCCAAAAAGTCTGGTAAAGGTAGCAGGAGCAGAGGGGCAGAAGGTGAGCATACCTCTAAGGCTGCAGTGGCCAGGGATAGAGGATGGAAAGATCTGCTAATGAGGAAGTCAGGGCTGGTGATGCAATACCTGCTGCTCAAGTATAAGATGAAAGAGCCCATTCTGAAAGGGGAGATGATAAAAATAGTCAATAAAAGGTTCAAAGAGCACTTCCCTGACATCCTCAAGAGAGCTTCTGATCGCATAGATCTGGTCTTTGGTCTTGAGTTGAAGGAAGTCAAGCCTAAGGGTAACTCCTATACCCTAGAAAACAAGCTGGACCTCAGCGACAATGAGAATCTCATCGGTAACTTGGGTTTTCCCAGAACCGGGCTTCTGACACCTCTGCTGGGTGTGATCTTCTTAAATGACAACTGCACCACAGAAGAGGAGATCTGGGAATTCCTGAATACCTTAGGAGTCTATGATGGTTGTGATCACTTCATCTTTGGAGATACCAGGCAGCTCATCACGCATGATCTAGTGCAAGAGCAATATCTGGAGTACCGTCAGGTGCCCAACAGTGATCCTCCTCGCTATGAGTTCCTGTGGGGTCCCAGAGCCCATGTTAAATCCAACAAGATGAAAATCATGGAGTTTTTAGCCAAAGTTAATGAAGCTGATCCCACTATTTTTCCAGTCCATTATGAAGAGGCTTTGAGAGAAGAGGAAGAAAGAGTTCAAAGTGAAACGACAACCAGCCGTGGCACCAGTGCTAAAGCCAAATCACGTCGTAAGGTCAAGTCCAAAAACTCTTCTTAGTGATATCTGAGATAGAGTCTTCACATTTTTTTTAATTGAAAGGCCTGCTAATTTTTGTTCATGTTACAAATTAGTAACTCATTGATAAATATTTTTGTTTTATATTTTTCAACTGGTGTTCAATGCTTGAGAGTCAGAGTAGATATAGTAAATGTTAATGGTTCACATTTATTAATGTTTGGCAAGCTTAGTGTTAGGTGTTTTGTTGTGTGTGTGTGTGTGTGCGCGTTTGTTTTGAAATAAAGATTTGAATTTATTAACGAGCTTTGGTGATAAAAAGAAAGCTAACCTCATTGGAAGATGGAGATTCTTGGAAACATGAAAGACCCACAATAAGCAGAAGATAAAGAAAAACATTTAGCTCTTGTTTTTGCCTTACTCTACTTAGTCTTTCTTGTCAAACATATAACAGATAGACATATACATAGATAATGCTGATTTTATTCAGGAATATATGAAAAATGAACCATAGAAATTACATTTCTTACTCATGGCTTACATTTTAGCCAAACATCTCCTCCTTGGGGAGTGTTCAAGCTTTGTACTGGGGATGTTTAGTCAAAAGAGACTTAGCATCTGCTCTTGCAGTGACAGAATATAGAAAAATCTATCAATGTGAAAAAGTGAAATACTCTTTCATAAGGAGGTAAAAAACAGGGTTAAGTGGGGACAAAGGGAAAAGATGACATAGTTTTCCTTGTCAAACAGAAAAACTAGGGAAAAACATTTTCTGTTTTTTTGTATATTTTTGTCTTAGGATTCTGCATGTTCTGTGACATCTCCTGGATGATAAAGTTTTTCAATCCCACAGACATGGATGATAACATCTCAGGTAAAGATAATCATATTAGCAAGTGTCAGGTTGTAGTATCTACACAAGACCGATACTACCACAGGTACTTTTGTATATATTAGATATCTTCCTAATCCTACAGGTAAATTCTGTCAAACTTACCTCTCAATGGAGAGCTTGAGGCTTACAGAGTTTGGTAATGTGCCAAAGTTCAGATGGCTAGCAATGTGGTAGGATTGAGACTGGACTCTTTAACTAGAGCCCACACTAATCCTAAATTGAGGCTATACTCTTGTCTTTTAGGTTTTTTCCCCTCAGCACTCCAACATCTGTTTTAATCGATTAAAAAAATGACCTTGTGCCACAAATATTTTAGTGGAATGCATAAACTGGAGCAATAAGATTACAAAAAGTAATTGAAAAGCATAAACAATGAAAGAGAATTCAGTGATAGAATGATTGTTTACATTTACAGTACTATATAACCTAAGCTTATGTTGTGCCCTTGCCCTGTGTTACAACATCCTCTCACATCACTTCTAGGACAGAGATCCATTCTCTACAAGGTTTGAAGAGGAGAAATTACTCTAGAATGTGCAGGAATAGACATTTCCCTGAAATTATTTAAAGCCAGAGACAGAACCAAGATAAATCCTTGAGATGCCAACATTACATGTTTATGTAGTTGGTCTGGGAAGATTAACACCCCCAGAATATGGAGCGTGTCACAGAGAGACCAGTCCCACATAGTCTGAGAAACAGGTGGTTTGAGACAACTGTCAGTCTATGCATCTCCTCAAATTTTCTTCAGGTTTATTAGGGTTATAAGAGCAAGAGGCCATGCACTTGTGGTTCATGCCTATGATCCAGCTATTTAGAATGCAGAGACATGAAGGATCTTGGATCAAAGTCATATGAGGCAGAACAGTCTTCAAGACTCCATCTCCAATACAAAGGAAAAGCCAGGTGAAATGTGGCTCAAGTTGTAGAGTGCAACCATGACAGAGAAAAGCCAATCCAGAGTGCAAGGCCATGGCTGAGTATTGATGGCTCGGGCCTGTAATTCTAGCTACTCAAAAGGCTGAGATCTGAGGATCACAATTTGAACCTAGACAGGAAGGTCTTCAGACTTATCTCCAATTAACTACCAAACAACTGGAAGTGAAGCTGTTCTTCATCACTACTATCCTTGAGCAAAAAAAAAATCTCATGGACAGTGAGTTCCCAATCATGGAGTTCAAGCTCCAGGACCCAAACATACACACACACAGACACAGACAGACAGACAGACACACACACACACACAGTGTAAGGCCCTATGTTCAAGCCCAGATACTGGATGGGTATTCTCCTTAGGGTAGAATCATCATGTCCAAAGAGAAAGGAGTCCTAATATTTCTTAGGAATAAAAGCATTAAGGCTAAAATAATATGATGTCAGACATAGTTAGGACATAGATATCCAAATTCCATTAGTACCAACCAAAAAGTGAATATTGAACGGAGAAGATAAGTATCCTTCAAAATTCCCAATTGCCACAGGCAAATATTTCAAGCTGTTGCCTCTCAGTTGCTGAAAGAGGAATAGTCTCAAAGACAAGAAATTCCCAGGACTCTGAGAGACATCAGTATGGTGGCCTAGTGACTCATGCTAACTTCCAAGTCAAACCAAGCCAGCATTGACAAAGTGGGCAACATCAGATCAGCAGAGCGTGTACTTCCAGTTTGTACTAGGGGTGAAGGTGAGACGCATGCTCCCACCATTGTGGGAGCAACAAAGATTCCTCCACTGCTATTTCCCTAGCGGGAGCTATAACAGTTGTGAACCCAGAAGTTACTTCTTCCTAGGGGGTGTCAGGGATTTGGGGACCTTAGGATGAGGAGATAGGCTTCAAGTCAAGTCAGGGAGAATTTTAAGTTTTTCCAGGATTCAGATGGAGGACACTAAAGAATGTGAAGTATAATATCAGTGAGAGGCATATAAAATCCTCCCAATTGCCATTCTTTAGAGACCCCAGACAGAAATGTTAAGCAAAGGTGCCTATCAGTTCTCACTCAGGGATAACAAGAAAGTAGGGGTCTTCCTTTGCATGGTCACCCAAGACTGCCTGGAAGTTAGATTTGGGGACAATGAATTGATATCCTGTATGAAATCACCCATCATAAGTTCCCAATATGTCTGTCACAGCCTTCATTCCTGTAAGTCCACTAAGTGTATAGCTAGAAAAGGCCAACCTCACTTCTTCTTGTGGATTATCAGGGAGGCACAGATACCACAAGTTAAAAAGGAAGGGAGCCATGAGTTCTGACAAGAGTCTAATCAGAGAACTTGAGAAGAATAAAAGTGACTAGGTATATTTGAATAGAAGGAGCAAAACGTGTCATGCTTTGCCTTTTGGTATCAGCCCTAGAAGGCTTCTAGTCAGGCTATCAGGTGAGCCTTCTGCTATCGTCTTCATAGGAAGAAGATATCTTCTCAGGGAAGTAAAATCATTGGCTATAAAGTACAGCAGAAGGAAGTGTTCCAATATATGTCAGTATGCCAAGTGCATTCCATCATTATACTCCCTCTACCAGTCTAACAAATTGGGCTTATCGAAACATAGATGCAGAGCCTGAGGTTCAAAGAGTTTGATAACTTACACAGTTTACACAGCTGGTAAATAACAGGACGTAGACTATACTCCTGGTCTAAGTCAAAATCTACAGTTTCACTCCTCCTAGTCTGAGGCCTTCCTTAGCCTCATTTTTGCAAATGTATCGCAAACAATTGGTTTAAAAAAAACTTTGTGGTCAAATACTGGGTTTTAATATGTAGCTGGAACAGTAATATTACCAAAATAAAGTGAGGTGTGAAAAAGATTACAATGATATATTAGTGGCAATCACTGTCTGGGACCCATTCTCAAGCATAGTAGCATACTCCGTTCATGGGTTTATTCTGTCCAAGAGAAGCACAATGTCTATATTCTGATCACCAGTAACCCTCCCAACAGTGTCGATCAATGGTGGCTCTTTATACCCCATCTCAGAAAAAAATGGTATCTGGCCAACTATGATTACATAAGATTGCATACAATGAATGTATGCATACCTTAATTGTAACAACAAGATTAGATTAATAGCCAGGCTACCTCTTCCTAGTCAGATGTAGCCTGACTAGGAAGTGAGTACCCTGTGTAGTACAGTTCTTTGCCAGGCAACCATGTCCAGATTACCAATAAAGGACACATATTGTTCTGCCAGGGACGAGGACCCCTTACCTTCCCTTCAAAACCCCTAACCCTCCTTTTCTATCTTGACATCTGGTACTGGGAACAAGTGGGTGGTATATGCTTAAAAAATTTAAGAAGGGATTTAACGAAACTATGGAGTCCAGTTAACTCCTAGCAAGCTTAGGAACCTTTGTGAATTAGACTGGCCTGCCTTTGGTGTAGGATGGCTCATGGAAGGGTCACCAGACAAGACTGTAATCAATGAAGTTTATAGGGTAATTAGTTTTCCTATATTAATTGTTGGCAGGATTTGGTCCTCAGCCAACACTCAAGACTGAAATACTGTCTGGAACAGGTCTGTAGGTTCTAGAGGCCAGAGTGGTTGCAAGTTCCAAGTATAGGGAGAAATCAAAAGAGCCTGTATTGGCCAAAGAACCTGAGGAAACACCACTGCCCTATGTGCTACCAGTACCCAGTTCCACACTCAAACCTTGAATATCAGATAAACAAGCCTGAGGGACAGTTACACTTGTAAAAGCTGACCTGGAAGCATCTGGAACCTCAAGTCTTTTGACTCCCCCAAATTCTGTGGCTGTGATGTCCACTCCAAGTCTACTAGTCCACAACTTCCATTCAATCAAGAGGTCCCATGAGGGCCTCTCCTCAAAATCCCATCACCCTATAGATGACCCTGAGAGCAGTTCAAACCTGCTGTATTCTAAGCAGCAGGGTCAAATACAAAGAGCAAGGAAAACGTTCATATACTACCCTTCACAACCACAGACCTCCCAAACTGGAAACATCACAGAAAAACCTCAGTCTCCGATTGATTTAATATAATCTGTCATTCACACTCATAAAGCCATCTGGAAAAACTGCCAGCGACTTTGGACACACTATTTATTCTAAAGCATGACACTGTATTACACTGGTAACATGGTTGGAAAAATGGTCGGAAGACCATGCCCCCATTGGTAATTTCACTGCCTAAGC